TGTTGGGGGCCCGTTGGGTCGTCTCGGGGCCGTCTTGGGGCGCGCGGTTCCACCGAGCTTCCCCGAAACACTTATGTTGGCGAAGGACCCAACCATATGTAGTTATGAGTAACGCGTTGTGGGTGCCGCTTCTGGTGGGCCACGCGATGCGTGATGGGGCGTGCCGTAATTTGTTGGGCGGACGCATGTGGGCACCCTCAATGGTGCCTCGGTGGAGCTTCCTATGGGGCCACGAAGCGCTGTGCTGGGTGTGGCGGACGCATGCAGGTGGTGCCAGTGGGGCCTTCGGTGGAACCCCATATATGGGGCCACGAAGCGCTGTGCTGGGTGTGGGGGGCGCATGCGGGCGGTCCCACTGGGACCTTCGCTGGAACTCCATCCTCGAAACGCAGTGCTGGGTGGTGGGGGTGGTAGTGGGGGGGTGGGGGGTGGGGCGCAGCTGTGCAAGTTGGGCCTTCGGTGGAGCTCCCTATGGGGCCGTGAAGCTCTGTGCTGGGTGTGGCGTACGCATGCGGGCGGTCTCACTGGGACCTTTGTTGGGGCTCTCCATGGGGTCAGGGGGGAGAATCCCGCATCCCCGCGTCAACACCGCGACCCTGTGCCATCTCCGCTCTTTCCCAGGAGTGAGAATCCCGCAGCCCCGCGACCCCGCGACCCTGAGCCATCTCGATTCTTTTTCAGGAAAACAGAATCCCACAACCCCGCAACCCAGCGACCCCGTGGCCTCGTGGGTCTTTTCCGGGAAATGAAATCCAGCAGCCCCACGACCCCGCAACCCTTTGCCATCTCGACGCTTCCCCGAGAAAGGGAATCCCGCAGCCCCGGGACCCCGCAACCCTGTGCCATATCGATTCTCTCCCGGGAAGGGGAATTCCGCAACCCGGCGACCCCGCGACCCTGTGCCATCTCCATTCTTTCCCAGGAAGGCAGGATCCCGCAGCCCCGCGACCCCGCAACCCTGTGCCATGTCGGTTCTTTCACAGGGAAGCGACCCCGCGACCCCGCGACCGTGTGGCCTCTCGAGTATCTTCCGAGAGATCAATATCACAGCCCCGCGACCCCGAACCCTTGTGCGTGCTATCTCAACTCTCTCCCGGGGGGGCAGAATCCCGCAACCCCACGATCCCGCGATCCTGTGCCATCTCGATTCTCTCCCAGGAGGGAGAAGCCCGCCAACCCCGCGACCCTTCAACCCCGTGGTCTCTCGAGTATCTCCCAGGCGGGCGGAATCCCGCAACCGTGACCCTCCAACCCTGTGCCATCTCCACTTTCTCCCAGGAAGGAGAATCCCGCAACCCCGCGACCCCGCGACCCTGTGCAATCTCGATTCTCTCCCAGGAGGGAGAATCGCGCAATCCCGCAACCCCGTGCCATCTCGATTCTTTCCCAGGAACACAGGACCCCGCAACCCCGCGACCCTGCAATCCTGTGTTATCTCGATTCTTTCTCAGGGGGGCAGAATCCCGCAAACCCGCGACCCCGCGACCCTGTGGCCTCTCGAGTATCTCCCAGGATGGCGGAATCTCGCAACCCCGCGGCCCTGTGGTCTCTCGACTCTCCCAGACGGATAGGATCTGCGGCTGCGGGGTTGCCGGGTCGCGGGGTTGCGGGGTTGGAGGGTTGCAAGGTCGCGGGAGGTTGCGGGGTCGCGGGGGTGCGGGGGTTGGGCGCGGGGTTGCGGGGTCGCGGTTTCGCGGGATTGCGGAGTCGTAGGGTTGCAAGGTCATATGGTTGTGGGGGTGCGGGTATGCGGGGTTTCGGGGTTGCGGGGTCGCGGTGTTGCGGGTCTGCGAAGTCGCGGGGTTGCGGGGTCGCGGGGTTGCGGGGCTGCGGAGTTGTAGGGTTGCAAGGTCAGGGTTGCGGGGTTGCGGGGTTGCGGGGTCTGGGGTTGCGGGGTTGAATTGGGGGGTGGCGAGGTCTCGGGGTTGCGGGGTCGCGGGGTTGCGGAGACGTAGGGTTGCAAGGTCACGGTGTTGCGGGGCTGTGGGTTTGCGGGGTCGTGGGGTTGCGGGGTTGGGGGGTTCCGAGGTCGCGGGGTTGGGGGGTCGCGGGTTTGCGGGGTGGGGGGTTGCGAGGTCGCGGGGTTCTGTGCTATCTCGATTCTGTCGCAGGAAAGCGGAATACCGCAACCCCGCGTTACTCTCGGGTCTCTTCCGAGAGATGAACTCCCGCGGCCCCGCAACCCCGCAACTCTGTGCCATCTCGGTTCTTTTCCAGGAAGGAGAATCCCGCAACCCCGCGACCCCGTGCCATCTCGATTCTCTCCCAGGAGGGAGAATCCCGCAAACCCGCGACCCCGCAACCCTGTGCCATCTCGATTCTCACCCAGGAAGGAGAATCCCGCAACCCCGCGACCCCGCAACCCTTTGCCATCTCGAGTCTCTCCCAGGAAGGAGAACCCCGCAACGCCGCGACCCCGCGACCTTGTGCCATCTCGACTCTCTCCCAGAGAGGCAGAATCCCGCACCCCGCAAATCCGCAACCCTGTGCCATCCCCACTCTCTCCCAGGAAAGCAGAATCCCGCAGCCCCGCGACCCTGCGACCTTGCGGCCTCTGGAGTCTCTTCCGAGGTGTGCCCGCAACCCCGCGACCCCGCGACCCTGTGCCATCTCCATTCTCTCCCAGGACGGAGAATCCCGTCACCCCGCGACCCCTCAACCTTGTGCCATCTCGCTTCTCGGCCAGGAGGGGGAATCCCGCAACCCCGCGATCCCCCGACCCTGTGCCATTTCGGTTCTCTCCCAGGGAGGAGAATCCCGCAATCTCGCGACCCCGCAACCCTGTGGCCTTTCGAATCTCTCCCAGGAGTGCAGAATCCCGCAACCCCGCGACCCTCTGGTCTCTCGAGTATCTTCCGGGAGGGCGGAATGCGCAACCCCGCGGCCCCGCAGCCCTGTGCCATTTTTGCGGCGCCCTCGGGCCTTCTCCCCAGTGTTCCCAGGGCATTCTAGGTTTCCACGCGCTCCCAAAATCGCACAGGCGCTTCCCAGCTCTCCCAGGCGCTCCCCAGGCTCCCAGGCGCTGCCAAGCGCCCCCCTGGCGTTCCCAGGTGCTCTCCCGAGCGTTTTTCAGGCGCCCCAATTTGTCACAATGTTCCCATGCGCTCCCAGGCGTTCCCAGGCGCTCCCAGACGTTCCCAAGCGCTTCCTGGCGCTTCCTGGCGCTCCCACGCGGTCCCAGGCGCCCCCGGGCGGTTCCCGCGCGCTCCCCAGCGTTCCAAGAGTCTCAGGCGCTCCTGGGCGCTACTGGGCGCTCCCAGGCGCTCCAGGCGCTTCCCGAGTGCTTTTGATTTTTCCACAGAAAGGAGAATCCCGCAACCCCGCGACCCCGCAACCCTGTGCCATCTCGATCTCTTTCAGGAAAGGGGAATCCCGCAAGTTCGCGACCCCGCAACCCTGTGCCATCTCGACTCTCTCCCAGGAGAGCAGACTCCCGCACCCCCGCAACCCCGCGACCCTGTGCCATCTCGACTCTCTCCCAGGAAAGCAGAATCCCGCGGCCCCACGACCCCGTGGCCTCTCGAGTATCTCCCAGGAGGGCAGAATCCCGCAACCCCGCGACCCTGTGGTCTCTCGACTCTCCCAGGGGGGAAGAATTCGGGGTTGCTGGGGTGTGGGGTCGCGGGGTTGCGGGGTTGGGGGGTTGCGAGGTCGCGGGGTTGCGGGGCTGCGGGGTCGCGGGGTTGCGGGGTTGGGTGGCTGCGAGGTCGCGGGGTTGCGGGGTTGCGGGGTTGCGGAGTCGTAGGGTTGCAAGGTCGCAGAGTTGCCGGGTTGCGGGGTCGCAGGGTCGCGGTTTTGCGGAGTCGTAGGGTTGCAAGGTCACAGGGTTGCGTGGTTGCGGGGTTGCGGTATCGCGGGGTTGTGGGGTTGGGGGGTTGCGAGGTCGCGGGGTTGCGGGGTCGCGGGCTTGCGGGGTTGCGGAGTCGTAGGGTTGCAGGATAACAGGGTTGCGGGGTTGCGGCGTTGCGGGGTCGAGGGGTTGCGGGGTTGGGGGGTTGCGAGGTCGCGGGGCTGTGGGTTTGCGGGGTCGCGGGGTTGCAGGGTTGGGAGGTTGCGAGGTCGTGGGGTTGGGGGGTTGGGAGGTCGCGGGGTTGCGGAGTCGTAGGGTTGCAAAGTCACAGGGTTTCGGGGTTTCGAAGTCGCAGGGTTGCGGGGTGGCGGGGTGCGGGGTTGGGGGTTGCGAGTTTTAAGGGGTTGCGGGGTCGCGGGGTCGCGGATTTGCGTAGTCGTAGGGTTGCAAGGTTACAAGTTTGCGGGTTTGCGGGGCTGCGGGGTCGCGGGGTTGTGGGGTTGGACTTGCGACATCGCGGGGTTGCGTGGTCGCGGGGTTGCGGAGTCGTAAGGTTGCAAGGTCACGGGGTTGCGGGAACAAAAAACAGCAACCATCCAGCTTCATATCCAATGTCCTGGAGCCCTCTCGGGCTATCTTGTGGCCGCTCGTGGCCGCCTTGTGGCCGTCTCAGGGCCGTCCTGAGCTTTTCTGGGGCATTCTTGGTGCTCTCTAGCATTGTTCTGGGGCGGTCTGGAGCCGAAACATGTCGGAAGTAGCGCGCGTTCATACTCCTGAGGTTGCACGCGAAAGGACGTAGCATTTCGTTTGAAAATGGCACAGCGTTGCTGCAGACGCGCTGGTTTGGCTCGAACTGGAAAGCGTTTTCTGCAGGCGTCACATCGAGGACACCTGAACGCCGCGGCGCTACCTGCCCGGTTCCCCAGGGGCCGAACTCTGTTCGAAGTTGCGTTCGTCAGTCCGTCCGTGTTGCATCTGGGCCTCGATGCATGCTTCTTTGTGCATATTTTGGGGTCTTCTCAGGGCTTCTCGAAGCTCCTGGGGACATCTTGGAGCCTTCTGTTCTGTTCGGGGGTTGGTCGTTGGGGGCCGTCGCCGACTGGTCTGGGGGCACCTCGCAGCCGCCCTGGAGCGCTCCTGTGGGAATGCGGTTTGAAGACCTCAGAGACCACGCTCGCGGCGAGGGGGCGGTTGGGCGGGTTGACCCCAGAAAGTTGCAGAAGCTCTACCAGACAAGTAATGGCATGCTGACGCTCTACATCGCGAAGGCAGGGTAGAAAGGACCCGCAGCAAGTACATAAGCGACCACGAGGGTTGTTGGCCCTCAGCCCGTCAGGAGGAGAAGAGGAGAGAGGCAGAACAGTGGCCAGATGATAGGGAAGTAAGCTGCCGTCCGAATCAACCGAACGGGTGTCGTCCTTGCAAGCGCAGCCCAAACACATCGGTAACTTCCTTGTGGCCACACCTTCGTAGCAGCCACTCATTTATCGCTCATGCCAAGGTTTCCTTCGCGGTATCTCTCATCGTCGCGGTTAGTGTTGGTATTGCGGGTCTTCGTATTCAGATCGTGATGCATTCGCATTTTGGCTATCATTTGACGGCTCGGTCTCCAATGTCGTGCAGCATACTTGATTTTCAATACGATTTGTTTCAGGAGTTTTGCCTGTTCTGATAGGTATTTCAGCCTCATGGTCGTTCTGCCGTTGGTCCTGGTGGCATTTTTGCTCTTGTGGCTCTTGGTCTGGCTCTCTCGGTCTCCGTTTCTCCATTGTCTTCTTCTTCGTCTTATTCCCTTCCTATCCAGTTCTTCTGGCCCAGCGTTGCTTGACAGGGTGTGCAATGGCAGTTCCAGCGTCAATTCCAAACTGGCAGAACATGTTCAATTTAGGCTTTGGCAAGTGTCCTCTGTCATTTGCCCTCTGTCCTCTGCCCTTGGTCCTCTTCCTTTTCCCCTTTGTCCTTTTCCTTTGTCCTCTGCTGTCCTCTGCCCTCTGCCTTATGTCCGCTGTTTCTCTTCTCTTTCTCCCTCTCTTTCTTGTCTCCCGTCCTGTCCTCTCTGGTCTTGTCCTGTCTTCTCATCTCCCTCTCATCTCCTCGCATGTTCTTCCTCTCTTCGTCTTGAGGGGAGGACAAGAGCAACCCAATCGGCTACTGCGTTCAGGGCATGCGCGAGTTCGCCATGGACTCGCGCCGCCTCCTTCAGCGCTGCACCAAGCCCGACGCCAAGGACCACGGGGGGTGTGGGGCGCGATCGACCTTCTCGCTAGGGCGAGCTTATGCTGGGTTTGAATTCCAGCAGCTTCCGTGCCCGATGGAAAGCAGTGGTCATCGTCCTACCTCCTGGTGGCTCTGTCCCACTAGTCCCCTCACCTCCGCTTGTGATGCCCAGAACAGAGCTTGACCATAAATGGCCAGCCGTACTTTTTTAGAACTGCAGGCCTTCCTCAGCGCCCTCAGTTTTGCTCTCTTCGGCGCCGCTTTGTGCCCTTCGGACGTGCGCGAGCTGGGACTCCATAGGAGTTCAAGAAGATCGCGGTGGCCTGCGCCATGGGCTTCGCCATCATGGGCTTCATCGGGCGCCCCTCGCTCTGGGAAGGAGGATATCCACAATGTTGGTGATGCTAGTGATGATCGTGGTGATGACTTCTGCGTTCTGGCCGCTGTATGGTGGCGAGTGTTGTTTTGAGACACAGCCCGAAGCTCCTGGTATGAATTGGTCGCTCGTGCTCCGCTTCAAGGCCTGAGCCCCGGCGCACTACAAATCAGGATCGGGGTCTTCAAGCGGGCCCAAAATTGTTTCTTGGCGCGCATCCTTGTGCCGAGAGTTATGGGCTACCATGTCATGCTGAGCTCGCGAGCCTTGCTGTGATCAACTCGATGTTCTTGAGCAGAGCTTGCGGGGCCTCAGATCGCTGAGGCCGGCTCGCTAAAATCACATGCATATTCGTGTTAAGCTCGTACCACGTGTTCCCGAGACCTCATTAACACGAATTTGAGTTTCCCATACCGCATTCCCAACGAGATACATGTAGGGCTCTTCGCTCATTTTGAGGGTGCCACCCCGACGCCTTCACCTGCGTGTTCTAAGGAACGCGCCTGCTCTAACCCCGCATACAACTGCCGAGTCTAGCTAAAGGTCAGGGTGTTGGCATATCTGAAGCTCCGATCCTGTGGATCGCAAGTGCGACAGGCAGAAAGTACTACGGGCGGAGATTTTCCAGGGGAGTAGGGAGTTCGAGGGAGGGTCGCAGGGCGATATTGTCACACGAGGAAGAGCTGGAAGCAGCTCTTGCACTGCAGTCGCCAGGTAATCTCTTTGCGCTTCGCGAGCTCCCAGCAATCCATGGGGTGACCAGCGTCGCTCCGTCCTTCTCGAGAGAGCTTGTGGTGCTCTTGGGGCTCCGTCGGTGCGCTTGGGGACCAGACTCGGCTTCCCTGCTGTCCTCCCTCTCCTCCTGCCGTTGTTTTGAACATAGTACTTGTGCAATCTCTCCTCCTTCCTCCGGCCTCCTCTGATTCCGCTTCCCATCTCTTGCCGTCCGTCCTCTGCTCTCTTCTCTCGCCTCGTCTCTTCTCCTTTGGGGGCTGCCGCACGTGCCACTGTTGCCAGTCTGCTGCACCTGGTGAGCACCGGCGGAGCGCCTTCCACACGCAGATGCAGCCAACACTCTAGCGGAGTGCCCCAAACCGCAGATCCAGTTGCTACCCTTGCCCCGTTGTGTGGTGCCCTGGCGAGGTCAGCAGAGTTCCCCACGCACAGATCTGCCCTATACCTTCGGGCTGCTGAGGGGAGTGGCGCCAAGCATGCAAGTGCTGTCGCTCTCTTGCGCCCCTGCTGAGTCCAGCGGGGTGCCCCCATTCGCGGATTGAACCATTATGCTTTCCCCTCTGGGTGGGCAGAACGTACAAGTGTCGCCTCTATGCGACGACTTTTGAGGCTCAAGCAGAGTGTCACCAGACGCAGATCCAGCCATTGAGCCGTTGTGCCAGTATGCCCGTATGTCTCTGTTATTGGGGCTCTCCTTTTAACAGCTTTATTCGTCCTTTCGCCGTGCGCTCTCCTCCTTCTTCCGTTCCTGCCGCAGCCGTTGGCTTCAGTGCGGCTGCGTTGCCCCTTTTTGCTGATGGGGGCACGCCGTTAATCCCGTTCGGGAGCCACCAGGCCTGCGGTGTTTTTCCTCGGGGTTTCATTGCCGTTCCACTGGCCGCGGCGTCCGCTGCCTGGGCGGGTCTCGCCACGCCAGTGGGCTTGACCCCGGAAACTGGACCCTCGCCCCGCCCAGCGGCGGGAGCGGCGAGGGGGCCCGCCCCGGGGGGGTACTTCCTTGAGGATCCCGGTTGGGGCCCAGGGGGGGGGGGGTATCCCGCGCCGACGGACCTCGTGGGAGACGAGGATGACGGAGGCACTCAGGAACACCCCTTCGAACCCACGCCACCCCGACGAGCGTGCGGGGAGGGGGGCGCTCCAGGCTTGGGGTCGGCCGTTCCCACGCCCCAGGCCCCGCTGGGGGACAGGGCAGGGGGACCAGCCGAGGAGGAGGGGGCCACCCCGCGGGTGCGAGACATTCTCGAACAGGCCCTGTTCCACCTCCGCGAGGAACGCTGGGCCCGGAGGGGGGGGAGGCGAGCCTCGCCGAAGCGGGGTGGTTGCCTCGGCCGGGGGAAGGGAGGCAGCGGTGGTGGAGTGCCGCAAGGCCTGGGCCCTGGAACGGCGACGACCTGGATGGAGGGTGCCGGGCGACGACCTGGAGGGGCTGTTGGATAGGGGCCTCCGCGAGTATCTCCGCGAGATGGTCGAGGAGGGGGCGATTTCGAGGCAGCCGCTAGTCAGTGCGCGGGCCCATCCCAAACCCCGCGAGAGCGCCTGGGGACGCGTGGGGGAGGCGATGGAGAAGCTCTGGAAGGATGCGAAGACGGATGCTCCTCTGCGGCAGGAACTCGGGGCCCTACCTCCAGGGAGTAATGTCATCGCCGTGGGGGAGGGCCCCGAAGATGAACCTGGATCGGGCAGCCTCGGAAGAAGGGCGGTTCATCCACGACCGGCGGGTGATGAACGAGTCAGGCCACAAATCCCTGCACCCCCCAGCCTTGCAGCCGAGGCGCTGGGGCCTGGCGGGGGAGATGCTGCAGTGGGAAAGACGGCGCACGGACATCCCGATGAAGTTGGCAACGCGGGACATCGCCGAGGCTTCCGGTGGAGGTTCGCGCGCGGGGCGCCGGGATTTTCGCAGCAGAGTTGCCCGGCAAGACGCTCTGGATGGACGGGGGCGTGATCGCGATCTGATCGAGCCGGACCTAGGGGGGCGTGCCTGGATGGCCGGAAGGCTTGCCGAGGAAGGGGCCCGCTGCATTTTCGGACCTCGGGCCATCGACGTGGAGAAGCGGGGCGAGGAGGGGGTGTTCGCTCTAGAGCAGATGTGCAGGGGGATACATGTGAACGCCCGGGAAGAAAATTCGAGGCCCCCCGAGGAGAAGGTCCGGAATATCCAGATCCTCCTAAGAGAGTCAGCGTTTGACGCGGGGAATTGGTCCATACCCTTTAGGACGTGTAGGTCTTGAGGGGCGCCCTGAACATTGCCGCGCCCGCGTGCCCTGTTGGGCGCTATCGACCGGCTCATGAAGACAACGGGTACCTCTCGGACCATGGTGGAGTGGCGTCCGACAGACCCAGGGAAACGGAGGCTGCTTGCAAGGAGTGATGGGGGGCCTTGGAAACGTTCCGGCTGCGCGTGGTGGTGCCGCAGGCTTTTGGGCCGCCCACTTTGCCGCAGGCTCGAAGTCGGCCCTGCAATTGCGGGGGCGCGTGGCTCTCCTGGGGGGGCTAGAAGAGCTGGCGTGGACGGGGGGAGACGCCGCCGAAACTCGGGTGGGTGCCGCTGATTGGGCCCGCGGGGTGTACGGGGCTATGGGCGTCCAGGAGGTGACGTGCCCTGTCATGCGTATCTTCGGGGAGGGGGGCGACGTCGTTTCCCAGTGCGAAGTGTTCGCCTTTCTGGCGTTGGCCGTCGCCTGGGGGGGCGCCAAGTGCTCTGCGTCTCGGGCAGCGCGAGCGCCGAGGCCTGGCTCCGCAAGCGGGGGCTAAGAACCACTTGGCACGGCGCGTGCTTAGGCTCCTGCGACTGCTGGGGGCCCGCCGCGGGCTCCTGGTGACCGTCGCAGGCGCGGGCCCAGCGCGACCTCAGCATGGGCGCGCTCTCAAGAGACACCCCATAGGGAGGTGGGGCGACATGAAGCGGCTGGGCCTCGCCGAGGAGGGCCTTCAGGGGCCTTGGGCCTTACTCCTGGAGGGCGCGTGGAAGGGGGGGCCCTCCTCCCCCCCGGCGACTCCGAGGAGCACCGGCGGATTGCCTGCCAATTGATATATATATATATATATAGAGAGAGAGAGAGAGAGAGAGAGAGAGAGAGAGAGAGAGAGAGAGAGAGAGAGGAGAGAGAGAGAGAGAGAGAGAGAGAGAGAGAGAGAGAGAGAGAGAAAGAGAGAGAGAGAGAGAGAGAGAGAGAGAGGGTGGGGCTTGCGCCGAACCGCTCGCGAGCGTGGGCCTCTTGGAGTATCGGGCCATGCTCGCCCCCTGCGGGCCGGTTGCAGGCGAAACGGGGGCCCGGGTGGATGTGCCCCCCCCCCCCCCTCCCTTCGCGGGCTCGCGGTCGGTCGCCCTGGCTGGGGCGGCCGCGCCGCCCAGCTCCAGGCGCGTTTCGGGACCGGGCGCGAAGGTGAAATTGGTCACCGACCTGAGCGGCTGGAGGGCGCGTGCGCGGTGCGCTTCGCGATCGCGCAGGGGCGTCGCTTTCTGTGATTGAACGGGCCCGCGGAGCCCAGGGCCAAGCGGGCCGAGGAGGCCCTCGGGCGGGGGGGCTACCCGCTCGCCACGGAGGCGCTGCATGCTGCTCACCGCCGCGGCGACGCCTGCTCGGGACAGCGTTGCTTTCTGGTCGCATGGCGCACACTGGAGCCATGGGGGCATCGGGTCCCCGAGCAGTTGCGGGCCAGGCGGCGAACCCGTTCGGCTGCCCTGTCGAGCGCCCTCCACCCCCTGGAGGCCATTGGCCCAGCCATGTCTTTTACGGAGCAGGAAGGAAGGCTGGAATGGCGGGGGTGCGAACCCGGCGGCGCGCCCCTCGTGGAGGGCATGCCCAGCGTCCTCCGTG